AGGCTTGTGTTTAAAACATTACTACATTTGATTCTAAGTAATCATAAATAAAATAAAAAATAATCCGCAAATTTACGCGCATCGTTGAAACGTCTCACCATGATTTCTGTCATTTAGTGATAGTTACTTAAAACATGGCAGATTTATGCAGCCACACCTTGCAGCATTATTTAACATTGGCATGGGGAAAACAGCTAGGTTCCGTCTAACATAGCGGACAATGCCCACTGCTTCGGTTTAACTACACAGCTGACATATTACTGATCACCCATCCGAGCGAATGCACCATTGAATGGCATTCAGACTGATTTTCCGTTGTTTCACATAACCTTTCGTCATTTACAGGGCGTTATTTCAAGTTTAATTAAATTACCATTCGACTGAGAATATTTTAAATATAGGTTCTTGCAAAAAAGCCCTGAATTTACCCTAAAATGTGTCCTGCATGCGCAGACCGTGCATGTAAATCTTTGACCACCGCAAAAACGAACTGTACTGCGTTGCAGAGAAAGGAAATATGGGCCAAAAGGTCAGCTGGCTGGCGAAAATATGCCACCCGTTACTTTCCACAGTACCGCAAATTCAGCCAAGAAATTCAAGGGCTTTTCCCACTGTAAGGAAACCAATATACATCAACTATTTCGAATATCAGAAATGAACTAGATTGATATTTTTTCAAATATATTACACCAGTTAAACTTAAACACACCCTTGACTACACTGACAGTTACTGAAAAAGAGAAGCCTTTGAGAAAGAAAAAGTGAATACTCAACATATGAAGACATTCAACAGATGGTTAGAGAGTTTTGATAGTCAAGTTAACATCGTTAACCTTAGGTATACGGTGAAGCTCTCAATATTAACAAGAATGATCGACGTCAATTCAAATGATAAAATCACTGATAAATTTAAACTGGTTGATTTTGTTTTTTGACTGGCATTTTGTGATCTAAATAATCATTTCATGCTACAACTAAATGCAAGTTTACATCAGCGATAATTTTAATATTTATATGATTTACTAGATGAGAGAAATAAGATGTGGTCAGCTTTAAAAACAAGTTTATTGAAATTATTTTATCTGTTACGTTTAAGACATTGTTCCCAATAAGGATTATAAAGCTTGCTAGCAAACTGCATTTAAATGGAGGATTCCTAAAGAAGTTGCACGAACTATGATATTAGTGATCACTGTCATGTTATGCGAATGATTTCCACATGGAAGTCGAGTATTTTCTACTCAATAACATTTTCTGGAATGCACCATTAAAAGGGGTGATCGAATATCAAACCTTTGATCAAGACGGTCATTAATACCGTAATACTACAGTGCTCTTTTTAAAAAATGCTCAGCTATATGGAGATTTTAAAATTTAGTGCGACTAGATTTAAGATGCTCAATGTATCATACTAGCAGCGGCACTCAACAAGGCTTCACACTGAACAGCGCATGCCCTGGACATTGCGCTTGTACGAGGAATGCACAACTCAGAGAAACAAGGTTACCTGGAAAATAGGAGCTCGGATGAAAAGCTCAGCCATCACGCAACCGGCACTCCACATGTCGATTTGTTTCGTGTATTGGCCCTTGCCGAGTATCACTTCCGGCGCCCTGTACCACAACGTCACAACGCAGTTTGTGTATTTTCCACCTTCCGCTTGACGTGCTAAGCCGAAATCGGCCAGTTTCAAAACGCCGTCAGTAGT